CTGAGCGGGGAAGGGGGGCAGAAACTATCTTGCTGCCGATTCCCCCCCCCCGGAGCCCCCTCCCCAATCCCTCCCCTCCCCAGCCGTCTCTGCCCAGAGTTAGCCCGCTGCTTGGTGTCGCCACCTTCACTGGGGTGTGTGGGTGTGGGTGTGGGTGTGGGGGGGCTCGGCGTGGCAAAACCGGCTGGCAGGCGCCCCTCCCTCCCTGCTCCATTACGGTATCGATCGGGGGAGAGCAACTGCCCGTGATCGTCGGCACTTAGCTTGACAGCAATCCAATAGCCTTGGGATCCTGACGGACGGCCCAGCGCTCCGCCGGTTGGCCTCTCGGTTGTCGGGAAGCCCGGAGAAGGAAAAGTTGAGCTGGGGGGGGGGGGCGAGTTCAGGAAGGGAAAGCCTTGCGCCTCGCCCCTGGCGAGGGACGGGTGAGGGAGGGTGCTGCTCCCCCCGCGGGATTACAGGGAGTCCTCCACTTACGGCCGTTCGGTTAGCGACCGCTCGAAGTCACGACAAGCCTCGGGGGGAAAAAAGGTGTCATGCAACTGGCCCTCGCACCGCCGCGACTGGCGCGGCCTCCCCGGGGTCGCCTGATCAAAAGAGGGGTCCTTGGTAGTCCTCAACTTATAATGGTTCGTTTAGCGCAATGGTTCTCAACCTGTGGGTCGGGACCCCATTTGGGGTCGATCAACCATTTCATGGGGGTCGCCAAGCAAGGCTGTCCGCCATTTTTTTTGTCCGCCATTTTTTTTTGTCCACCATTTTTTTCCCCTTTTCCAGCGGGTATCTTACCTCCCTTGGGCTGGGCCAGCTGGTGGTCGGCCTGCTCCGTCTCTGCCGCTTGCCAGCTACGCCTCGTCCAGCGCAGGGGGCGGAACCACGCATGGGTGGCGCTCCCGGGCAGGGAAAGTCCTCGACTTACGACCGGTTGGGTAGTCCTCGACTTACGACCAGTTTAGTCCTCGACTTACGACCGGTTTAGTCCTCGACTTACGACCAGTTTAGTCCTCGACTTACGACCGGTTGGGGTCGCGGCATTAAAAAGGTTGAGAACCACTGGTTTAGCGGCTGTTGAAAGTTACGACGGCGCTGAAAAAAAGGGACTCGGGGCCGGTTTTCGCACTTACGGCCGTTTTTAGCGTCCCGGCGGTCGCTTGATCCAAATTTGGGCCCTTGGCAACCGGCACGTTGTGACAAACGTTGCGGTGTCCGGAGGTCTTGCGATCGCCATTTGCGACCTTCCCGGCCGGCTTGCCACAAGCAGAGTCAATGCGGGAAGTGAGATTCACTTAACGACTCAAACGAACGGTTGTAAGTCCAGGACTGCCTGCGCCAGTTGCCAAGGGCCCAAGTTTTGATCAGGTGACGACAGTGGCAAGGGCGGAGACCGATGGCCAGGGCCAAACTTCGAACCGCCGCAAAACCAGTGGCTGCGAGGCAAGGACTGTCGTCTGTCTCTCATCGTATTTCATACTTCTCAACTGCCCATCTCCTTCACAGGGCAGTGCACAAACCTATGCTCCCCGGTTGGGTGGGATCAGCTGTTTAGGGGTTCAGGAAAAGGAGAGGAGGAGGAGGAAGAGGAGGAGCGGGAGGGGGAGGAGGAAGAGGAAGAGGAAGAAGAAAAGGTGGAGAAGGAAGAGGAGGAGAAGGTTAGGTTAGGTTAGGTTAATTTAATTTGTATACCGCCCTTCTCCCGTAGGACTCAGGGCGGTTCACAGCATATTAAAAACACAAATACAATATACAAGATACAAAAAATCATACAAAAATACACAAAATAACCCCACTAAAACCTAATTAAAAGCCAAATATTGATTGCTGTATTCCCATTAAAATTACTTTTTA